GTGATATTCTTTGGCCATTGTTCTTTGCTAATGCAAGATTCACATCAATTGGAGTCTTTGCAACTTTAAACCCTAAGTGCTTGAATTTTTCAAGTACTGCCTTAATATAATGAGATTGTGACAATGCCATACCTTGAAGAGTCTTATGGATCTTAATCTCTAGAATTAAATCAGTTACTCCCAAGTCCTTCATATCAAACTTGCTAGTTAGCATACGCTTAGTAGCATTTATGTTGGCAATGTCATTACTCATTATCAGCATATCGTCCACATATAAGCAAACAATGACTATGTGATTTGGAACATTTTTAATGTACACACATTTATCACATTCATTTATCTTAAAACCATTTGACAACATTATTTGGTCAAATTTTGCATGTCATTATTTGGGCGCTTGTTTTAGTCCGTAAAGGGACTTAACAAGTCTACATACCTTCTTTTCTTTACCTGGAACCACAAACCCTCCAAGTTGTTCAATGTATATTTTTTCCTCCAACTCTCCATTTAAAAAGGTCGTCTTAACATCCATTTAATGAATTTCAAGAACATAAACTGCAACTAAAGCTATTAACGTTCGTATGGACATAATTCTTGTAACTGGAGAGTATGTATCAAAATAGTCAAGACCTTCTCGTTGTCTATACCCTTTGACCACAAGTCTTGCCTTATATTTGTCAATAGTGCCATCATCTTTCATTTTCCTCTTAAATATCCATTTAGAACCCAACGGTTTATTTCCAGGAGGAAGATCAACCAATTCTCATGTATGGTTGTTTAATATGGATTCTATTTCACTATTGACTGCCTCTTTCCAAAACAATGATTCCGAAGAAGACATAGCTTCTTTAAATGTTTGAGGCTCATTCTCCAATAAGAAAGTCACAAAATCTANGAGCCTTGCCTTGAATTTATCAATAGTGCCATCATCTTTGATTTTTCTCTTAAAAATCCATTTAGAACCCAAAGGTTTATTTCCAGGAGGAAGATCAACCAATTCCCATGTATGGTTGTTCAATATGGATTCTATTTCACTATTGACTGCCTCTTTCCAAAACAATGATTCCGAAGAAGTCATAGCTTCTTTAAATGTTTGAGGCTCATTCTCCAATAAGAAAGTCACAAAATCTAGTCCAAATGAAGTAGATGTTCTTTGACGTTTACTACGTCTTGGATCATCCTGATTAAATGTACTTTCTTTTGTTTCTTCCCGAGGTCATTTAGATCCTTCACCAATCGACTCATATTCCTTTTTATACGGATATATATTTTTAAAGAACTCAGCATTATCTGATTTTATAACCGTATTATTATGAATGTCTGGATTTTCTGATTTATGAACTAGAAATCGATATGCTTTACTATTGGTTGCATATCCTATGAAAACACAATCAACGGTTTTCGGTCCTATTTTTGCCCTTTTGGGTTTAGGAACTTGCACTTTTGCCAAACACCCCCACACTTTAAAATTCAAGTTGGGCTTCCTTCCTTTCCATTTTTCATATGGAATGGATTGTGTTTTTCTATGGGGTATTCGATTTAGTATTCGGTTAGCCGTAAGAACGGCTTCCCCCCACAAGTTTTGTGGCAAACCAGAACTTATCAATAATGCGTTCATCATCTCCTTTAATGAACGATTCTTTCTTTCCGCAATCCCATTGGATTGGGGNCCATTAGATTGGGGCGTGTAAGGGGCCGTTGTTTGATGAATAATTCCATATTCTAAACATATTTGTTCAGAGGGAGATTCATATTCACCACCCCTATAACTTCTTATCATTTTGATTTTCTTGTTAAGTTGCGTTTCAACTTTATTTTTGTATTGCTTGAATGCGTCTATTGCTTCATCTTTTCTATTAAGTGAGTAAACATAGCAATATCGAGTACTATCGTCAATAAAAGTTATGAAATACTTCTTTCCACCGCGAGATGGTATTGACTTCATGTCGCAAATATCTGTGTGAATTAAGTCTAAGAGATTTGAATTTCTTTCAACTGACTTATAAAAATGTTTAACATACTTAGATTCCACACATATTTGACATTTTGATTTGTTACGTTCAAATTTAGGCAATACTTCCAAGTTAATCATTTTCCGTAAGGTTTTATAATTAACATGACCCAAACGTATATGCCATAATTCATTTGACTCAAGTAAGTAAGACGAAGCTGAAATTTTATTATTATTCTTAACAACCATTACATTCAGCTTGAAAAGGCCCTCAGTGAGGTAACATTTTCCTACAAACATTTCCTTCTTACTTATTACAATCTTATCGAAAACAAAAACACACTTAAAACCATTCTTAACAAGAAGTCCAGCAGAGACTAAATTCTTCCTAATCTCGGGAACATGAAGGACGTTGTTCAAAGTCACCACCTTGCCAGAAGTCATCTTCAGAAAGATCTTCCCACATTCTTCAATCTTGGCGGTTGTAGCATTTCCCATAGAAAGCGTCTCTTCGGGTCCAATAGGAGCATATGTTGCAAAGGCTTCCCTAACAGCACAAACATGGCGAATGACTCCAGAATCAATCCACCACTCCTTAGGATTTCCTACCAGGTTGTATTCATAAAGCATATCACACAAGTCATCAACATCTTAATGCTTTTCAACCATGTTTGATTGACCCTTCTTCTTGTCTTTCTTCGGAGCACGACACTCCGTAGATTTGTGCCCAGCTTTCCCACAGTTGTAGCAATTTCCATTGAACCGCTTCTTGCTTGGGTTGCTTTTCGGTCCAGAAGCCTGCTTCCTCTTTCTCTTATTTTGAGAAGTATCCTCTACAATATTTGCTCCCATTATTGTTGAGGTTCCACGGCCTCTCTTTTCAGCAGCTTTGTTGCCCTCTTCGATTCTCAACCGAACAATGAGATCTTCAAGGGACATCTCCAAGTGTTTGTGTTTCAAGTAGTTTTTGAAGTCCTTCCACAAAGGAGGCAACTTTTCAATCATCACTGCTACTTGGAATGCTTCATTGATGACAAGACCTTCAATGAAAATTCTGTTAGTAAAAATACTAAACTTACTACTTTCAACATCAATATTAATATTAATTCGATTTATACCTTCAGCAAGGAGATCGTGAATAATCACTTGCAATTCCTGAACTTGGGTAATAATAGACTTGTTATCTATCATTTTGTAGTCCAAAAACTTAGCGGCAACAAATTTCTTCAACCCGGTATCTTCTGTTTTGTATTTCTTTTCAAGCGCAGTCTACAATTCTTTTGACATCTCCACGCCACTGTAGACATTATACAAATCGTCTTCCAGTCCGCTAAGAATATAATTCTTGCACAGAAAATCAGAATGCTTCCATGCCTCAATCACAAGAAAGCATTCATTCTCTGGAGTTTCATCAGGCAGAACAAGAACATCTTCCTTGATGAACTTCTGCAGACTTAAAGTAGTCAAGTAGAAGAACATCTTCTGCTTCCACCGCTTGAAATCTAACCCGAAAAATTTTCTGGGTTTCTTCGCCGGTGCCAATGCTGGTGTTCTGCTTGTCGACGCATTGACAGTCACCATTGGAACAACTTGATTTCCATTATCATTAGTCATTTCTGTAAAGGAATGACACAAACAAACGTTAAAATCACGTAGATTTTAATCTCCAACGGAGTAGAAAATCACAAAGGTTTTAATTTCCAAAACAGTGAATACAACACAAATATAGAAAATATTAAATTCCTTAAGCTTGTTAGTAAACTGTATTTGTAAAATAATTCTGGAAAATATAAAATAACATAAACAGAAATATCAATGAAACAAAAATTTAATCCGAGCCCACTGAATTCACAGTGTTTCCTTAAGGAATTTAATCCCCTCCTAGTACCCAAGGTTATGGATTATTTCCTCCCAGGATAGAACAAATTACACACTGGTGTAGTGGTACTTCAAACCCCAGTGTTTCAGCGAATACAAAGTTCGGTAGCAAATCACACTTACTGTTGCTTTCTTTGAAGTTAAAAATATGCAGAAGAAAGGAGGAGAAACTCAGAAAATCTTATGAAAAATCTGAGAGAATGGACTTGTATTTATAGCCAAAGTTGGGCTGGAAACTGAAGAGGTGCAACTCTTCAGAATGGATGTTTATGCAAAACGCCGATAGCATAAATGTCATAACATAAATGGCTAATTTATGCAATAATAAACCGGGAATTGAAGAGGTTCAGTTACACAACTGTATTTTGTTATTAAAACAGATATTTAATAATATTTTTGTTAATATTTTACTACTACCAAATAAATTTGGTCCAAAAAATTAATCAATCAATCGATCATTTGACAAAATCCGAATCCAAAGCCGAGCGAGCGACGACGACGGTGCAATGTTTGCCTTCTTCTCAACTCTTTAAGAGCTAGAAGAAGAGCAATTGCTTATATACCCATAAAAAACCTTTTCCTCTTCCAATATGGAACAATGTCCTTTTGTCAAGGGGGAAACTTAAAATTTTTATTTTCCTCCATTTCCCATTCACCATCTTTTAAGCCATATTAATGCTTAAACCCCAATAAAGTCCAATGACATATGTCGCGATATAGCAATTACTTCTCAGATGAGTCATCTTAATAACGTGCTTGAACTTATTGGTTGTTGCCTAGAATATGTAGAACCTGTTCTAGTGTATGAATATGTTGAGGATATAACTCTTCATGACTTACTTTTTCATGAGGGTTATTCATCTGTATCTTGGGAAAGTAGATTGCGGATTGCCAATGCAATCACTTCAGTTGGAAGTAGATGCTAAAGTTGTGCCCAGAATATTTGGTTATTTAGATCCAGAATATCTCCACTCGGATGTTGTTACTGTGACCTGTCCGACGGGACCACATCAAATCGATCGTTACATAAAGTGCCATATTTTATCGTTACGTAACGATGAATTTAACGATACAATACAATAAAATTTAAATAATAATCAAAATAAATATTATATTTAAAGTAACAATGCTGTACAATACAATAGGTAACAACCATCCAAACAAGCCGTAAAAAGAGATCAAATGAAGAGGACCCCTCCCACAAAAAAAAGAAACCTAGCCGCCAGAGAACGGACTCCCCTCCTGGCCGTTTCCACCATCTCCAGATCGGACCCTTCCCCCTTACTAAAAAAAAAACCCTAGCAACCATTGTCTTATTCTTCTTCACCTAGCTAGAAGCCGCCGCCCCCAGAATCCTACCTCCCTCTTTTAGAACACGCATCTGTAGACACACACACATTCAGAGAACGGAGAAGCACATTTCGCTAGCATTTGGTGTCGATTTTTTCTGGTTTTGCTGAAGAAACTATGTTGCTGTTATCCTCTGCTGAAAGCTTGAAGTTCGGCTCCTATTTCCAGCTCTTGTTTGGTCGTTTAGCACAGTTTTACTGCGTTTAGGTATGTAGATATTCATCTATTTTTCACTTTAAAAATATGAATGAAGATTTGAGTTACTCAAGCCATATTTCCTGATTGATTTCGAAGATGCGTCACTGAATCCGATCATATTTTCATCTATTTTAGTTTGTCGCTCACTTTGGCTTGAATGCTAAAACTGGAATTATTCTCTGTTTAAGTGTAGGTTTGCTAGATGTTTTATTATGCCTGGTTTCTCGTGAATTCATCAGCGGATTTGCCTTGTCGTTTCTATGTTAGCTATTTCTTCAACTGATTATTTTAACTGATTACTTGAGCTGAAATTAGTCATTGATTATTAGATCTGAATTGTAGGATTTTGAAGCCAAATGATTTTGTGTCTGTTTCGAACAATTGAAAAGTGGAAGTGGTGAAATTGCTGTGTATTGAATATGAATATATAGAATCTAGCTTTGAGCAGAACAATTACTGGAGATTTCTTTGTCAGCAACCTTATCCAAACTCAATTTGTATTAGGATAGTTTATAGGTTGTTATTAAAAATTTTGAGCTATGATTTTGTGTAATGAGTTTTCAACTTGGTCGAATCAGTGTTAACGTCTGGAGTAATATGCTTTAAAGACAACTTTGAAATCATGTTAAAATTCAGTTTGGTGCACTATTGGGCTTTTGTGCCCATGAGTTCTCTGGCCAAAACTCATAAATGACTGGCTGGGCCGAATCTTGTCAATAGATAGAATAGTAAGAACTTTAAAGTTGTAAATCATTTCTAGTGATTAAACTTATCCTTTTTCCACAATGTTACTTCCATGAATCGTGACCTTACAACAAATCTCAAAGTTAGCTTAGGTAAATAAGTAATGAACATCGTAGCTTGCTTTAGGCGCGATTAATTCGTGGCCATGGGTGCGGCTCCCGTGGCATGGTCAAGATACGTAAATCCCATTCTGATGTGCATTTCATGTGACCCGACCACAACTTCGAATAATAATAATAAACATATTGTAAATCACGGGTGCGTTTCACGTGGCATTGTTTGCAATGTGTACCAAAACAAACAAGTGCGCGACATCGTGACTTGTTCAAATTAATTCCATAAATATTAAAAACGGTTAAAAGGTAAAAATGCACAATAGGTTTCAAATATGTATAAATCAGATAATTAAGTTAATTATTAATAGTTGAGTGGCCGTGCTAAACCACGGAACTTGGGAGTGCCTCACACCTTCTCTCGGGTTAACAGATTTCCTTACCTGGTCTTCTGGTTTTCGCAGACTTTAAACAGAGTCAAATTTCCTCGATTTGAGATTTAAAATAAAACGGTGACTTGAGACACCATAAATTATTCCAAGTGGCGACTCTGAATAAATAAATAAATCCTATTTCGAATAATGTCACTTAAATTGAAAAAACTCCCTATCCCCCTCGGAAAAAATGAGGTGTGATACTTTCTTTTTTCTTTTTTACATATTTATCCCATATATTCATACTTCTTTCTTATATAACCATTTAATATAAAGTTATTTTATACCTTTAATTTTGAATAATATAAATTATAAGCAAATATTATACATCATACATATTAATGTATAATCCAAATAAAAATGAAATCATTGATAAGGTATAATTAAATAAATATTACATAATGGTAAAATTTAATTTAATTTTTACATAAATATTCAACTTACAAGATTAGTATGTTGCTCCATAAATGCTCTATTATTGCATTATAAAGTGGAAAATGAGCATCTTTGTGCATTACAGTCCCTACTTATTAAATATTTATTTTTATGATAATTAATGAACATTGTGTTATTTATCTACAACACATTAAATTTCAGATTTTGCACTTTTTATTTTTTTATGGTTACATATTTTTATACAATTATAACTTATTATAAAATTAACTTATAATTTTATATAAAAATAAAATATACAAAAATTAATTTATAAAATTATACACCAAAAGTAAAATATAAATTAATATTATAAAGATATTACACAAAAACTATAAGTAGTTACCAAATTATAATATGTTAGATTAAAAATGTTATATGATAAAATAATGATAAATAGTAATGGTGTTGATGAATAGTGTTACACCAAATTTGGTGTAACATTATTCACACACCAAATGGTATAAGAAATGGTGTTGGGTTGGAGTAAAAAAAACCAAATTTTACACTAAAATGACGTTTGGTGTCAAAATTGGTGTTGGGTTGGAGATGGTCTTATCCTCTGCACTGCCAGAGTAACTATCTGACTTCACTTCTCTTTCCTGACGGACTAGTAAATCACAGGTGAGAGGTCACCCCCTTTAGTTAAATTTATCCGGGGAATGCCCCGAAGGATTTGTACATATTTTATTCCGGGGAATGCCCCATAGTATTTTGTAATTGGAAGCCATGACGAGCATCGCGAAGGAAGCAATGTAGGCTAGATTAGAATTTTTATCTTTTTTTTTTATTTTTCTTTTATTAGGTGGGGACGACCTCGAGCCTTTTTGTGTGTTTATTTTTCTTTTGTGTTTTTTTTACCTCAGTTTGAATATTTTAAAAACTTACTAGATCAAGTATGCAACCGTACTAGTTACGGGATTTGGGGAGACCTTCTCCCCGAGTCAAATGAACCCCCTTACCCGAATCTCTGGTGCATACTTAGTTTTGGAGTCCAAAGTGTTTAAAAAGGAAAAATCATTTTTATAAAACGGTAACCAATGTCAGATGGCGACTCTGAAAAATCCTTTTGAACACATTTCTTTGTCACTTTCTAATTAAAAACCCTTGTTTGAGCTTTACGAATCTTTTTATTTTTTTAAGAGGGCTAGTGAAGTTGGTAAAAAAGGGGTGTGACAGTCCCACTACTCACCCTTCTCCACTTAAATACCATACTTTTGTCTGCTATATGGTCTGAACTTATGATGTGCCCCTACCACACAGGTCATGGCTTCACGCACTGCCACACATGCCATGCCAAATCCCCCTCTATAAGGTACTCTCACAGGCCCATCACAGCCCAACACATGCAACAACTTCATCCTACTGCAAATGTAACGAAGAGACCTTCCCTATAGCAGACCTTAAACCCTACTATGAAGCATTGAACCTCTAATTTGCTGCTTCTAATCTGCCAGAAATTCGCCGGAATCCGCCAAGCGCCACCAGAAATGGCGTCAATAGTATCAGAAACGGTTCCAAAGTTCACTGCTGAAGCACTCAAATCCGCAGCTAAACAATCTGAACGTTGCCATATTGTTCCTCTCCGCCTTCGTAGAGCTATCAAAAAGTACCTCCGAGGTAAAGTTTCAACCTTTTTTTATTTTTTATGCACGTTTGTTCAAACATTGATTTCATTAGGATGTGCCTGATTAGAGTATTTTTGCTGAAATGGTCCCTCAATTATTACATTTCATACTCAAAATATCACCGTTGACATATTTATTCCTTCAAGCATGCAAAAGGATTAATTGGTGAAACTCGGTGCATGTGCTTGTGGGAGGCAGCAAGTACCATGTGGAGTTAGTCTAGCTTGTGCCCGGACACCATGGTTGTAAAAAAAGATTAATTTGTGACAATGGTGGTTGCTTATTGGTTTGTCAAGTTCTTGCGTTAAGATTTAGAGCTTGGTATTCCCGGTACTAAGAGCTTGATAAGTGTTTGGTTTAACCTTCATTTTTGTCTAGAGTTGTACTGATTTTATTTTAATGTGGAGTGGATATAGAATTCATGCTGAGAGTATCTGCGAATAACACGGGCTTAATACGGATTTGAATTCCAGTGCTAATGAACACAATGTTAGTTGACCCTTTTGTTCTCTCCGAAATTATGGCATATAAGATATCAACGAATAAAAAAGTAGTAATTAGTAACACTCATCGGTTCCCTTCACATTAGCAGACTACTATGTCATATTCATGTCATTGCCAAGTACAACTATGTTTCTTTTGCTGCCATACCTTTTCTTGGTTTTGCATCAGCCACCACTTTTCATATGCTTCAAATATTGATACCTTTTTGTGAACGGAATTTATGTTGTTTGAGTTTACTGCAATATTGTATGTCGAAGGAGATGAGAAAGCTTGATTTGGAATTGTGTGTATGTAAGGTACGGGAATGAGACTCTCTTTCAGGACTTATAAGACTTTCAGGAGTTTGAAATTCTATTTGGGGTTGGCTCAATGAGACCCATTATGTAGCAGAGTTTAATCCCATAGGTGTGAAACCAAAAGTTCTCAATTTATGTTTAAAAAGACTAGCTTTAGAGTACGCGCGTTGCGCGTGTTCTTCATATCAATGAATATAAAATTTGAAAAAATTACAGAAAATTTATTAAACTATGTAATGAGTTATAAAATAAAATTTTTAAAGTAAAAGCTTAATAAGAACTATTGATCCTATTAGCCTTCTTAATAAAGGAAAAAATTATATCATGCAAGAGCATTCTAATTAATGCCTTTACATAACTTCAATATATGAGTTGCACATTTACTTTAATAGCTCAAATAGTGTAGAATAATATACTGACTTGTCAAATATCATGCAACTATATTATGTTCTCATAGCCTTAAGAAAATAATTTCTATTTGCTCAAAGTACCTAATATAAAATTTATATTATTCCTATTGAACTCAAGTTGAAGAATACGAATAACAATAAGATACTCCATATATTATTAGATATAATTATCATAGAAAGAATTTTATTAGATTAGAAATATTTAAATCCAACAATATTTATTTCTAGAAAGAAATAACATGATATAAATTAAATCATTATATCATTATGATATGAGTTAAAATTTGCTTAAACATTATTTATATTGTTAATGTACTCAAAATAAGTTAAATTATTTACATTGTTAAAGTATTATTTAGCTGCTAAATCATAATGTAGGATTTGGTCTTGGAGCGCAAACCCATAATCAGACATTCGTAGACAACTCTTAAATAAAAATTTATAATTTGAGATTTTAACTAATATAAAAATATAATTGTACACTTTTTGTTTCGGTTATATACACTAAATTTAAAAAGGGTGCGCTTTTGCATGTCACACTTATAAAAATTCTCAAAAGAAGTTTAGACATATCAATGCTTCGTTAGTAATCTTCCTTAAACATGTACACGCTTGCACACCTATTTAAGTACTAAATTTTAATTTTTTAAAATCCTAGGACTTTTTACATTGTTTATATAAGGAAATAATTAATAACAATAATTTTAGTTGACTTCAGAATCCTAAATTTTAGGAAAAATTATCAAATGACTATTTTGTCTAGTGTGAACTCTATATATAAAGGGTAAAAAAGGCGAACGACATTTCGCTAAGGGCCTTTGTGCTTTTAATATAGTATAGATTTTTTTCTATCAGAGGTGATATTTCGAGGATAAAGTTAAATTAAGAGTGATACTTGTGGGATTATTTTTGGCCAAAACTGTGCCCTTTTCTTCACATCCTACAAATGGCCCCAAAGAAAGTGGAATGGATGAGATGACTTGTATAGCTGACCCTAACTAATTTGAGATTGAGGAATGGTTGAATGATTGATATGCTTTTATTTGCTCTCATCTTAATTTTTATGCTTGGGTTGGGCCTATTATTGCGTCGTAAGAGGAGAACTCAAATGGTTAGAGATTGCAGGCATAGTTGATTGAGTATATGTTTCTATTTCATCTCTCGCTAAAGTTTTGTGTTTGCGCTTGATCTACTTATTTAAGAGCTAGGATGCCCACCCCAACTAGTTTAGGATTGACATGCAGTTGATTGACTGATTGACATGCTTTTGTGTGATCTCACTCTAAATTGTGTTTTGGCTGGGTATACTTATTGTGAAGCAGGAAGAGCCGGCCCCAACTAGTTTGGGGTTGAGGATAGTTGGTTGACTGATTGATTGCCATTCTATTAGATCGCTCTCTAAAGTTGTGTTTCGGGTGGATCTAATTTATTGCAGAGCAAGAGGAGCCACATATGAAGAGAAAAGTGTTGAGGTTATCAGAATCATTCAGCCAAATAAAGGAAGTGAATTTGATGCTGCCAACCTCCACATCCAAGGAGCTTGTTGAAGATCCTCTGAAGTCTGTTGAATGTTCACAGCGGTGGAAAATTAAAAGCGCCTATGGTGACATTGGCCTCAAGTATAGGGAGGATGAAACAGTGGCCTATGTGGCGTCCCGTATGCCTGCCGTCTACTCTGCTCTTTATAGAGTGCTTAGTGAGGTAAACAAATATGATATCTAATTGAAATGATTTTTTACATTCCTATTTTGTCCTTTCAGATGAATTTTCCAAAATTTGAGTTTTGAAACATGAATATGAATTTGGTTGCGAAAAGTGATTGCTTTGATATGATTTTACTTTAGGTTCGTAGAAGATTGCCTGGGTTTTCACCAGCTAAGGTGTTGGATTTTGGGGCTGGGACTGGTTCTGCATTTTGGTGAGAAGATTATTGATATTGTATATAGTTGATTTCTGCTGGTTAATTGTCATACCTATATGTTAATATCTGTTGACCCTTTGGTTTAATAAGTTGTTGAATTGTGTGGTTATGCAGGGCACTTAGAGAAGTGTGGCCACGGTCATTGAATAGAATTAATTTGGTGGAGCCATCACAGTCCATGCAGCGTGCTGGACAGAGCCTTATAAAAGGTACATTCTGGTGTTCTATGGATTCCTTCGGATCTGGAAAAGTCTGATACTCTTAGGAAGCATTTTTTTGAATCCTAATTACTAGCTATTTACTGCCTCGTTGATCAGCTAGTTAATTTTTCTGAGTCACTGGCTTATGTGGAAGTATGTCTATTGTGCTTTTTTGATGTGAAAGTATATCAAATCTGTTCTTCAGACACAATGTAATACAATTCTATATGTGTACATCATATTTTTATAAATCTGATGCAACTTGTTCCAGCCTTGCAAATTGTCCTCTTATCAGAGTATAGAATTTGCCAACAAGAAGAAGATTTTGTATGCCTTGAGCTTTTGTCATGTATATATGAAGGAGATTCGCTGAGATTCACAAGCCGCAACCTACGATGTCATATCTTGGAGTCATTTGCTGTTATCCGTGGGACTTAATGTGCTGCTTGATATTGTGGCCTGTTACTGTTGTACAATAAAGGAGTATCTAGGCCTGTGGTTAAGGATTGCTTTCTTGTTTCTCTCTCTCTAGCAGTTTTGAGTGCTTTACTTTTCATGAGTGCGAACCTATAACCCCTTTACATATATTTTTATTACTATTCTACTGCTGTATCTAGAAAAGCTGATAAAGGTGGCAAAATATGTCCTGTAATTGCTGTAGGTCTTAAAAATTTGCCACTCATTCAAAGTTATGGAAGTATTCAAGCACTCTCTCAGGATGTCAAAAAGAGTGACAGACAACATGATCTTGTGATTGCTGTAAGTACAATTTTGTTGTGGTTTGCTCCTTAGATTTTGTGTAGGGGCTTCTCCAAATTATAATACTTTATTACTTCATCAAACTATGAAGTATTTCTTTAATGTGTTTAATCTTGTCATTGTTAAGAATATATGTTGTGCTCTGTTGCATCATGTTTTGATTATGGTGCTGATTAGTCTTAAATTTTGTTTGATTGAAGTCATATGTACTTGGAGAGATTCCATCTCTGAAGGACAGAATCACGGTTGTGCGGCAGCTCTGGGAACTGACAGGAGATGTTCTGGTAGGTTTTGAAGTCCATATTTCAGCAGNTTCGTGCATCCAAGTGGCAGGCTTTTTCATCAAGCTTCAACAGTTAGTCGATTCATTATGTTTGTGTTATCTGAAGTTTCTGATGGTTTAGGGAAGTTCTTCTGATCTTCAAGTACTATATTATATGCTTTTCTTCAAAGTTTTCACATACTATTGATGTTTTTAGTTCTCAATTCACCAGTTCAAGTACTATCTGAAACTGATAACTTGATCAAGATCTTGGAATAAGATGATAATTAGTTTGTCTTCTCTCTGTATTAGAAAAAGATAAGAGGGGAAACCTCATTTACACGGCTGTAGTTCTACTAAATATCTCCTCCTTATCTCTCTATC